AGATAAATTCATCTTATGGGAGGGGATGCATCCAGTACTGAGGACCCAGAGAGGAAGTAGGGAACCCCCAGCACTCACACCTGGGCACCAGCAACCCACAGCCCTGTCAGCTTGTCCTCTGTCTCCATCTCCCTCTGTCTATCTCTCTCTCTCAACAGGATCTAGTCTTACCACTGTGTAGTGAAGGATGGGTTTGAACCTTTGATCCTCCTGTCCACAGTGCTGGGATTGTGGGCACCACCGTGACTCCCATTTACTACAGGATGAAACTGGGGCCCTTGTGTGTCCTAGGCAAGCCTACTACCTCCTGAACTGCGCCTACACTCCCCACCTCAGCTTCTTCATGATGGCTGTGGGTTCACATACATGGCAGAGGCTGTCTGTCACTGCCATCCAACCCCTTTCCCAGCACAACAAAACCCAGGGAGCCCTCAACTGAGCAGAATAAGGAAAAGAGGTCTGTCTGCACCCCAAGGGTTGATGCACAGTTGGGGGAGCTCACTACTGTGGTCAGGAGCACTGGGGTTGTGAGCAATTCCTCCTTGAGTGTGTGGTAGGAAGGCTGGGCCAATGCCGTATGACACAGCCCACTCTAGGCAAGAGCTAAAGTCAGAAGTGCCCAAGGCCCTCCTGGGTCCCAGGATCTGAATGCAGGGACAGTACAGCAGTAGGCATGGAACAGGGGCAGCACTGCACAGTAGGGAGGGCTGGGTGCCCAGGGAGGACACTGAGCAACAAAAAATGGGCCCAGTGAATGCTCAAGAGGAGGGGTGAGGGGAGGAACGCAGAGGGTGATGGGAGCTGGGTCTGTTTCAAAGGCAAGAACGGCGGCCACAGAGGGTCGATGACCCTGTCCCTCACCCTGGAGACTGGACTCTGGCCACCACATACTTCTGTAGCTCTCTTCCTAGTTCAGAACACTTCATGTCTTGAGTAAAATGGAAGTTTGTTTCCATCCAAAGCCTGGAGTACACGGGTGAGGCCGGGAGACCTCCAGTTCCGGAGGTCGGCTTCTCACATGTCGGCAGTTTGTGTTGGGAAGCCTGCATGCTCAAAGCCACTGGCTTTTAGAAAGGTAGCTCTCACCCCTGCCAGCACAGTTCCATCCCAGTCAGATGGGAAGCCCAACGAAACAGGTTCCCACTTTGTGGTGTATTTCATCCCACCGACAGCGACTCCCAAGTGCTGGGTACTACTGCTCACGGCAATCCTTCAAGGGCAGAGCAGCTGCTCAGCAAGCCCTTCTTACAGACAAGGAAACTGAGGCCCAGGGAAAAACAGATGTGAAGCCCAGCTGCACTGCAGCCTGGGCACAGGGCCGCAGATTCAGCCTGGTGCTGCCATTTCACGGCTGTGTCCTGTGGTTCCCTGAGGTGTGTCCTGCTGGTGAGTCACAGCCTGTAGGCTTCCTGGGCCTTTCTTGTGACTCAGGTCACCTCCAGAAGGAGCCGCAGGGTAGAGAGCTTAGGACAGCCCTCAGCTGCTTGGAGCAGGGAATCCTCACAGGGCTTTTCTGGTGGATGACCATAGGGGCATCCTTTGTGAGAGATCCACGGTCTCCAGACCAGGAACAAGGCGTGAGATATTCAGCCCAGAGCGGGACCTCTGCAAGGCCTTGTGAGGGAAAACTCACCATGCTCTGTCCCCAGACCCAGCACAAAGGCCTTCACAGAAGCCTGTTGTCATTCTGACGGGATCTAGGATCTCCGTGGACACCTCTGGGCCTGTCTATGAGAAACTTTCTAGACTAGGTTAAATGAAGAGGGAAGACCCACCCTGAATGTGGGCAGCACCACATTGTCCAGAACTACAGAAAAAAGAGGATGTGAGCTGAGCACCAGCATTCACCTCCATTTCTCCCTGACTGTGGCTGCCATGTGACCATCTGCCTTGCCTGCCACGACAGACTGGGCCCTCACAGTGTGAGCCATAAGGCCTTCCTCCCTTGAGGTGTTTTATCAGCTCTTGGGGACTTGGGCTGTGGGGACAAGGCTCCCCTAGCACCTTGTCTTCCCCCAGGCCACACCTGAGCTGTCAGCACGGAACTTTACAATACAGTTTGTCTGCACAGCGTCCTGGCTCCTCATGCATGGTGCCTCTGCCGCTGTGCAGGACCCCAAGGCAGCGCCTTCCCACCCACCACCCCAGCCAAAGAGGGGGTGGAATCCATCCTTTCTCACACAGTCAAAGGCAGAGCGGCCTTTCAGTGATGACTGGGCTCTATGACCAAATAAGGCAATATTTCATTTCAGTGTTTACAGCGCGTGAGCCGGGCACGCGGGGCACCACAGGGATCCCAGAGCACGCTGTCTGCAGCCCGCAGCCAACAGCTCTGCCCAAAGCCAGGTCAAGGACATGGCAACCTGTCACTTATCAGATCTACATTAAAAGAACTGGGGGATCCAACCTGGACATTAGGAGCTGAGCCAGCATTGAAGTCCAGCTGGGATATGATTTGTCTCCTAGGGGCAGTGGCCGTACTCTTTCGGGGTGCCTTTGCCCCCCCCCCAGGATTTACCACCAGCTGTCTTCTCCCTGGGAGACAAACCCAACCCCTCCTCCCTGACAGTGTGAGATTCACCAGAGGGCCCAGCTGAAGCCTCGGTATTAATAATAAGACTAGTGTTGAAGTTTAAAGCCATCAGAGGCTCTGAACATCAAACAAAGCCTCAAAGATCTGCCCTGCTTTGGCTGCAGCCACAGAGACCCACCACAGGGACATGTGGCCTGAGTGTGGGACCTGCACATAGTAGGTGCTGAGGGTCTGCTAGATCTGTATCGCTGCTCTGCAGCAGGGCCCCTGGGAACTGGGCCCAGAACAGGACTGTGGCACCTTCCAGAGAGAACTCTCACCCGTCCTTCTCTCCGTGAGAGTCCCTACCTTCCCAGGCCCCCAGTCTCCTCTAGCCTCTGTTGTTTCAGGAATGCCATTGCTGAAGGCATGGACAAATGTACGGACGGACGGATAAACACAGAAATGAATGAATGAGTGACTAGATGAAAGAAGGAAGAAATTACTGAACGACAGAATGAGTGAGAGCATAAACAAATCAGTGTGTGAACAAACGCCTGAGCTAACGCACAAACCGTGAACGTATGAACAAGGGAACAAACAGAAGTACCATTGTCTCTGTCGTGGAGCTGAACCTACACTGAGCTCCCCTGTGTCAGCTCCCCCTTCGCTTCCTCAGCACCATGTGGCTGGGGTCCCCACTGGGCGTTACAAACCTGGCCTGTGAAAAGCACAGTGGCCAGAAGGGCACAGGGAATTGAGGAGGTGCTTGGGGAGGGCTAATGACCATGGGCAAGTTGGTGCTGGCCAGGGGAAGGGGGAACAAAGTGGGTGGGAACAACAGTTGCTGACTCAGAGCTGCAGGCTGAGGATCCCTGGGTGCTGACCCTCGATGTCAGCAGCTGACCTAGACTAATGTCAGCTGTGAGAACCAGAGGGGCTTGTTCCAGGCCAGGAGACTTCCCTTGAGGGTCCATCTCTTTTCTTGTAGGGTCTGTCTTTACCTTATGGGGGTCTGTTCCCACCTTGGGGGCCTGTCTCCCTGGTAATGATTAACCACGCTGGGAAACCTGACTGGGAGCCGCTGAGTCATTTTATAAACCCTTCTCGCCCTGGGTGTGGCCTCCTTCGCCTGTCCGAGCTGCAGAGGTGTCGCGTGCCTCCTCTGGTGGCCCTGGCACCAGACCCGCTGCAGGGAGCAGTAGCCACCTGAGGCTGGCCAGTGGAAGGCAGTCTGATGGAAGAGGCGAGCAAGATGGAGGAGCCTGTGTGGAACCCTCTGCTGACGAGTAAGGACAGGGGGCTTCTCACAGGGATGAGGGAGGACCCTGGCCACCTGCGATAGGGCAGGCAAGGTGCCAGTGGGCCCAGGCATGGCTGTGCACATGCAACCGCCTCTTAAGTGACTCTTGGGGTGTCATCACACTGGCGTTCCGGACATCCGAGTGATTGTGCAGGCTGTAGAGTGTTTTATTTACTCTCAATTGCAGCCCCAGCTTAAGCAGCACGAGGCGTTTTTAGCTTCCTCCTCAGCCTCTGCCCTTCAGAGCTGGTCTCCTTTGTGTAGCAGCTGAACCACCCAGAGCACAAGCTCCACCTCTCTGGGCCTTGGCAACTGGCGAGACCCCAGCTCAAATGGTGCCCACCCTGGGAACCGCGGCTACAGAAGGGACAAGAATGAACCCTTCAGTGGCTCCTGGAACAGAGGTCACCAACCTCTGAAACTTATGATGCCCTGACTTGGGAGTAAAGCCGAGGCCCTGGGAACTTAAGTCACTGAGGATACACACAGCACATGGGCAGGCTTGAGTGGCCCTGGTGTTTCTGTCCTGAGGGTCCTGCGGGGAGATGTGATGAGGGAAACCAGAACTCAGAAGTGGAAACTGTCCCTCCCTGTGTAGCTGTGGGCAGGTCATAGCCCTGCCTGCTGCTTGGTTCCCGTGAGATTGGTGCCCTTCTGATCTTTGGATTCTAGGGTCTGTCTGTGGGGTGGCATGGGACCTCAGAGCCAATACCCTTGCTTCTGTTTCCTGGGAAACCAATCACCACACCCAACTGCTGGTTCCCTGATACTGTCCCAGTACTGCCTGGCCAGTGTCTGGGTTCCAGGCCCACCCTTGACCTGATTGGTGGATGTGTGAAGGTCGTTACCCACTTAGGAGGAAGTAAGTGCTGACCAGACAGGCAACTGACCAGCACGTGGAACTCAGGCTGGCAGTCCCTCCCACAGGCCTGAGAGAAGACTCCTCTCAGCAAGATCTGTGCCGGGAGACTGCTGCTTCCCACAGACTTTCTGGGCCAAGACTGGCACAGCCCCCAAACCAATCCCTACCTCCAAGGGCAGACAGGCGAGTCTGGGGCTTTACCGTTGTCAGTCCCAAAGTAAAGCTGAGGCTCAGAGAAGTTAAGTCATCGCTGAGCGACAAGTGTCAGCAAATCCAGATGGGGATGGGGGCACTCACACTGAACAAGTGGCTTGTCTACTCACAATCTGGAGTTACCTCAGGGGCACCCTGTCTTGAGGCTCTTGACTGTGTGAGGGCCGCCTTCTCCCTTGTGGTTCTCAAGCAGCCACACTGGGTGTTGGACACAAGTCTTTTGTTTGTTGGGAGTTTCCCAGGTGGGAGGTTCTGGGGTACTCCCTGGCTTCCTTCTGGGAATTTTGAGAAACAGGGGATTCCGTCTACAGACTTTTGAGCTGAATGACGCAGAAGTCAGAACAGGGCTGTCTGCGGTAGAATGAAATTTGTGAGTCAGCCATTCAGACCCTAAAGGTGGAGCAGCTAGCACCTTCAGGGTCAAATCTGATGCAGAATTTCTTCCTAGAGATGCACAGGGAATGAGTGATGCTCCTATGCCAACTGCAGAGCCCATGCCTGGCCTCGACTCAGACATCTGCTGGCAACAGGTCTGTGACTCAGGGTCTTCCCTTGGAAGATTTCTCGCTGGTAATGTGTCCTTCAGTCTGCTTTCCGTTGTCATGGAGCTCGAAGTTCCACTTGTGTCTCTAAAGAGAAGAGTCAGATACCTGTCAATCAATCACATCCTAGTACAACTAGCTTATTCTCTCTTGCCCTGGTGAGTGTGGGTTGGTTGAATGAAAATGGTCTCCTCTTCAGGATGCAGGGTTTCTGAGGGGCAGTGAGGGATGTGGGGGAGATGCAGAAGGTCCAGGGATTCTCTTTCAAGGCCATGGGAGTGAACTCTAACCTGGGAAGATCACAGAGTCTGACCTGAGGCAGGGAAGCTGTGGATGCTGGGAATCCATAGGTCTTATCTCCTCTTTGACAGAGTGAGAACCGAGCTCTGCCACGGCAGGACCCCTGGTGACACTCGCTGCCTGGTACCAAGTGGGGAAGGAAGGCTCATGCAGGAATCAAGCTGTGAAGTGTCAGGCTGGGCACTTGGGAAGGACAGAGAGTCAGCGTGGGTATGGCTGAGCTGCACCACTGCTCAGCCTGTGGTGGGGACAGCGTGGGCTGCAGGCAAGGATGGCAGCAGGATCCCCAGGTCTAGAGATCATACATGTGCAGGCAGTGCAGATGAACAGGGAGAAGGGGACCCTGGAGGAGATGTCCGTCACCCACAGCTGTGTGTGCTCCAGGCCTAAGCTGGCTGCCAGTTTTTGTGGACTTCAGGGTGTGGGTCCCATGGTTCCGTCTCTCATGCACACTATGTATGCACTTTCTGCTGATGGCACTCCAGCTTGGGTGATGTCACTCATTCCTTGAGGCCCAGGAACAAGTCAGGCCAAAAGTAGCTGCAAGGGAGGCCAGGACAGGCTATCAGGGGTCTAGATTGCCGCCTGTCAGTTGAGAGTTGGGGGTTCTTCATATGGAAAGGGACAAAATCTGAGAGTCATAAGTTTGCACTTAGGCCCAGGACAGAGATCTGGGTTCTATATTTCCCTCTGAGCCTCAGTTTCCTCATTTATGAAATGGGTTGGCTGATAACCATGACATCTGAGCCCATTCTACTCAGCCTGGGACTGTCCCACACAGCCTTTCTTATGGAATCTTCTAGGTGAACGAGGGAGGACTGAATGCTGTGGATCCCAAGGGCTGGGAATCCTGTCTGTCACATGGTCTGTATGTTTGCTGACTGACTGCTGTTTAAGCAGAATGAAAGGGGACTACTTGACACTCAAAAAACAAAAATGAAAAGCAACAGACAGCATTTTCTTCTGCCATTTTCCTTTCTTTCGCCTCCATTTTCACTTCTTTTAAGATTCCTGACTGGCGTGTGTCCCAGATCCCAGATGTGGGTTGCCGCAGGGGTGCCATGTGAGAGTACTGCGCTCCATGCTGACCCTCAGTCCAGTCCGGCCAGCTGGGGCTGACTTCCAGTCCTTGGGTATGGAGTCTGATTCAGCTCTGAGACCTTTCTTAGGCAGGAGGATGGCTACTAGTGTGATTATCAGCTGTAGTTAGATGGTGAGTCCCAGGCCAACCTCAGCTACTGAATGAGGCTGTGGCCTTGTGGAAGAGTAGTAGCCGTAAGTCTGGGATGTGTGACGCAGGGCTGTGTCTGGAAAAGCCAGTCACCTCGGGTGTTTGGGCTTCTTCAGGGCACATGACCATTTAGGCACCATTCGCCAGGCCAGCTTCCCTGGAGCAGCCAGCTTCCACTCTGCCCACCTGTCCGCCCCCCCCCCCCCCCGGCTCCACTGACTCTCACCTGCCATGTGTATTCCAATCAGAATCTGGGAAGCTCCGTGGGATGTGAATCTCCGCAGGATACAGGGTGGGCCATCTTCCTGGAGCTGTGAACTTGTTTAATTTGCCATCGTCTGGATGTTTGGCTGCTGAGTCTTGCATCTTGATAAGAGCTTCCGGGTAAATACATCTTATCCAGGGTTGGTGCCTGAGGCCTGAGTCACCAGGGAGGAGCAGCGTCCTCCCTGGGATGGCATTCCAGAGGGCAGGAGTGGGTTTAAGGAGAGCAGCCCTTAGGGTCTTTGCATTCCTCTCATTTCTGTGGGCCAAGACCCCGGATCCCCACCCTGAGCCCTTCTGGACCTGCCTGTGCCAGCCTTGCCTGACACCCTTGCCCGGGGTGGTGTCTTCTCCCCTTTTGTCTCTTCATTTCTCTTTAGACTCCTCCTGCCATTTGTTTATCCTTTCTCTCCCTCTGAAGAATGCAGTGACCTTTTTCTATTTTGTTCTGGGGACAGGACACAGAGCCCAGGACATCTCTGAGCTCCCCTCACGTTCTGTGTTCCAGTCTGTGGAGTCTGCATTCTGCTTTGATTCCAGCTGGGCAAGCACAGGCAGAAGGGACTTGATTTAAAGTCTCCTGCAAAACAAGACGATGTGGGAGCTTGGGAGGTAAGAGGCAGAACAAAACTCTAGAAGGAAGATAGTCTAGCGTCCTCCGGGGACTGTGATCCCAGCACTGGAAAATGAGGCAGGGGGATTGTGAGTTCCAGGCCAGCCTGGGCTACAGAGTGAGATTCTGCCTCCAAAACCGAAACAGAGAGAGAAAAGAAAAACAAAACAAAAGACACAAAAGAAGAGGGCTTGACCCCAGCTGTGAAGGAGTCCTGGCCTCCTGTTGGTCCTGATCACTGCCGTCTGTGGCACCCTTGGTGTGGGTGGTATTGTGGTAGGTGTGCCCATTTCCTACGTGAGGAAACTGAGTCAAGGGAAAACATCTGTTCCAGGATGTCAGAGTTGGCCAGAGGCGGAGCTGGGTGCTTTTGATGCTAACATGGGAACTAACTCCTCAGGTCCCCTTGGGTTGTTCTTAAGCCCACACACTCAGCATGAGGAAGGCAGCAGGAGACACTCTATAGCTCACAATGTATACGACAGAAGACCCTGCCGCTCAGCTGGGCGAATGAAGATGCTAACTCAAGGGTAGGTTTCGTCCAGCCCAGGACCTCCGGTGGCCAGTGACAGAAACAAATGGGAGGCAGGGACAAAGGCCTGAGGAAGGCTGTGAGCCAAGGGACAAGGGTCTGACACACTGCTGCAGGCCTCTCTGCAGGCCACCATTGGTGTTGGGCAGAATAGCCTGACCTGTCTCAGTGGTCCCTTTTGGCAGCTCCTGAGGTACCCAATTGGGCACACCTGAGTCATGTGATCATACCAGTTGCCAGGGAGACAGAACAGTTGCCAGGGAGACAGAACAGTAGCCCCCTTCCACATCCTGGAGAGGGTTCCATGCAGGGAAGGTGGAATGGGGATGCAGGATTAGACAAATGACCCTTTCCTGAAGGGGGTATAACATGAGGAGGCCTGTTTGTTGGGGGTTTTATGTCCTGCCCAGTTCCCCCAGCTGTTTAGTCCCAGAGAAAAATCACACAGAAATCTCTATAAGTTATAAAGCTGATTGGCCCGTTAGGTCAGGCTTCTTACTGACTAACTTTCACATCTTAATTAACCCATTTTTCTAATCTATGTTAGCCATGTGGCTCAGTACCTTTTTCAGTGGGGCAGCTCACATCCTGCTGCTTCGGTGATCTAGGCAGAAGTGGGAGGAATCAACTTCCTCCTCCCCAGAATTCTCCTGCTCTCTTTGCATCATTTCCACTTCCTGTCTGGTTTTCCCACCTACACCTCCTGCCTGGCCAATCAGCGTTTATTTAAAACATGATTGACAGAATACAGACAATTCTCCCGCACCAGGGGGCACTGGGAACCACAGGCTCCTGCAACATTGCTGGTGACTTCACAGACCGGCCACAGCCCCTGCAATGACCCTCAGAGTGTGAGGGTCCCAAATGACCTCCCTTCCACCTGATAGAAGGATATAGAAATGTGAAGCTTCCAGAGTCTTCTCTCTTGACACAGCTGGGGACCGTGGTTCTAGATGAATCCCTCTGAACTGAAGCTACCACCATGTGCCCAGGGAGATGGCACCTGCTAGATGGTGGGACTTGAACTCTCTGGACATTTGTTACAAGTCACTTGCCTGGCAGGGAGGAGGCAGGGGGGAGGCTGAGGGAAAACAGGGGCCCATCCTTTGTATGGCTAGGGTTTATGGTCACATGAAGCTGGGACAGAAGGCCAACATGTTGTGCGGTGAGGGCAATAACTCAGTAATTAAGAGCCCTGGATGCTCTTGCAGAGAATCTGGGTTCAGTTCCCAGAACCCACATGGCAGCTCACGAATATCTATAATTCCAATTTCAGGGGATCTGACACCCTCTTCTGGCTTCCCTGAACACTGTACACATGTGGTGCACATACATACATGCACACTCAGATACATAAACTAAAAATAAATCTCTAAAAATTTTTTCAAACTGACCCTTTGCTGGGTAGACTGTGTCCCCATCCAGCACCCAGAGCACCTCAGCACATGGCTGTATCCAGACAAAATGGGATCCCTGAAAGACCCCAAGCCACACAATGGGTCTTTATGTGAAGAGGAAGCAGGTCACAGACACAGGATTCAGGGAGAAAATAACATTTGTGACACAGGAGAGAGGGCTTGTAAGGTTACAGCCCTGCAGCACCTCCATCTGACCTTTTCTCAGGACAGGGAATGATGGACATTTGTTATTGAAGACCCCTGTCTGTGACATTGGTCATAGTGCTTGAAGCTAATTCTCATGACCTCTGGGTAATATGAAGGCAGCTGTTGTACCATTGGGTCACCTGGGTCTGGCCAGCATTGTGTCCCTTAAGATTTGTGTCACACTAGCTGTTTCCTGGAGATGGGCTCAGACTGAGGATCCTGTTCATGTTCTCGTGGCTAAGTGCTCCCCAACAGTCCCCAGTGCTTCCCAGCAGTCCCTGGGAGTTCCTAGTGGTTCTCAGCAGTCCCTGATGCTACCCAGAAGTCCCGGGTCCCAAGCAGTTCCTAATGCTCCCCAGCAGTTGCTGGGGGTTCCTAGTGGTCCCCAGCAGTTCATTGGAGTTCCTAGTGGTCCCCAGCAGTCCCTTGGGGTTCCTAGTGGTCCCCAGCAGTCCCTTGGGGTTCCTAGTGGTCCTCAGCAGTCCCTAATGCTCCCCAGCAGTCCCTAGGTGTTCCCAGAAATCGTTGTGGGTCTCCAACAGTCCCTGGGGGTTCCTAATGGTCCCTTGAAGTCTCCAGTGATCCCCAGCAGTCCCTGGGGGTCCCTAGTGGTCCACAGCAGTCCTCGAGGGTTGCCAGCTGTCCTCAGTGGTCCCCAGAGGTTTCCAGCAGTCCCCAGGTGTCCCTAGCAGTCCCTGGTGGTTCCCGGTGATCCCCGGTGGTCCCCAGCAGTCCCATTCTTCTGTTTCCCTGGAGCAGGTGGGCAGCGCTCAGCTGGCCAAGACTGTTACCACAACCCAAGGTCAAAGTAAAGGCCAGAAGACAATGTTAACAGAGCCCACTGTATCACTGAACAGGTCAAAGACCCCCAGCACAGTGACCTTCTGAGTGCAGTTCTGAGGGCCCAGGAGTAGCTGAGAGGATGTTTGTTTGTCAGTCCTGGAGCCATTCCAAATTCCACCACCAAAGTCTCAAGAGGCAGCAAACCGCTTGCTCCAGCTACCAGCTGCCCCTCTAGACCAGGTTTTATAGTGGTGCACAAAGGTCCTCCCACAGCCAACTCCTGCCAATTGTGCCCAGCCCTGGGTTGAGCACCCAGCCCTCTACTGCTCCCCTGAGTGATGGCCATGAGCTGACAGGTTCACACAAGGACTTGGGGACCCCAGTGGACCCTTTAAGATGGAAAGAGCCGTACAACCCAGCTGGGGCAACTGATTCCAGTGGGTTCCTACCCTTGAGTGGGTGGCCTTGAGGTTTGAGTGTAGGAGGAAACCTGGCCCATTTTCAGAGAGAGATCTGAGGTCATGTGTCTATCTCAATCCCTGTTAGGGTGGCCTGGGGACACAGACTCCCTCTCGGCTTCTTAAGGACAAAGAAATCCTCACCCCCGCATGGCTGTCTCCAGAGGCACCGTGGGTGATGGGTCCACTCCAATCCCTTTGGAGACACCTGAAGAGCAGTCCCATCATCCCCTTCTTAGGTTCCCTCCTCCCTGGGAAGCTGACCTGCCCTCTCTTGGGTTCCCTCCTCCTCTGGGAAGTTGACCTAGCCCTGGAAAGTAGGGCTTTGTGAAGAGTGGCCCCCAGAGCCCTGTCATTTGCAAGTGGTGACTGAGAGGGACTGGGAAGACATTCCAAAGGGACATACAAGGAGGTGACTGAGACCAGCTTTTGGGAGAGTAGGTTGAGTTGCTGGGCCTGTGTGTCCCTGAGGGCGGCCTGACCCCAGGAATCAACACGGTCCAAACCCACATTAAAGGAGGGCGAGGTGGCACTTGGGACAGACCACTCCCTTCTACCAAGAACTCAGTGACTTTGAGCTTTGCCTTCTGTTCTTGGAAGGGGTATCTCAGGCCACCCCAGGGGCCATCTCCCAGAGGCCACTCCTTGGATCAGATGACTACAGGACTATTTCCATTGGCTGAGTGTGCCCCGGGGCCCCGCTGGGAACAGTAGATCCACAGATTGCAGCTCCTCTATTGTCTTATTTTGAACTTTAGAACTCACTTTTCTGCCTAGAGACATTTCCCACCAGCTCTCAACGGAGCCTGAAGTCGCTTGGCCCATGGCATAGGCCTGGCTTGGCCCATGGTGTAGCCCTGTGGTCTTTGGGGACTTCATGTCCATGCTCCCAATCTGCCGTTGGAGTTTTGCCTGTGTTGCTCTACCGAGCCTTCCGTCAATGGTATTTGCTCTTTGCAAAGGCAGTCTGTTTCCTCTGATGGCATATCGAGCACAAATATTTGCCTCATTAATTAGAGTCCATTTAACTCCAAAAACTCAAGTGGAGTGGGCAGCCTCTAAGGTTAAAAGTTAGTCAGCACTGGGACTGCCCTCCACCCTGGGCCCTTCCCTGGCCTCATCACTGGGAATAAACAAGTCAGGTGTTAATGGCAGCTCAGCATGCCCAGGTGTAGGTCATGAGTGCAGTGAAGGACAGGGCAGGGCAGTGCTTTGCCCTGTTGTTTCTAGAACCTTCTTCTCACGACTCCTGGCAGCAATGTTTGTCACTGATGTGTGCTTCTCCCCAAACACCATGGAGAAATGGTACAAGGTCATACAGTACCACAGAAAGAGGTCTGAGATTGTGCAGAACTTTTTAGAATAGTTGGGCCTGGGATTGGATCCAGGGCCCCCACTTACTCGCTGTGTGGGTCCTGGCATATTCTTCTTCTTCTCCACGTGTCATGTTCCAAAGTGGTACACGGGCACACTCATTTTGACATCACGTGGCTGGGACTGAGGGTAAAAATCATACGGGGGCAGGAGATGAGACTGGTTGTGTTGTCTGGCCAGGCTTCTGAGCCCCAAGCACCACTTAGCCTTTTCTCTGTAGAGTCAAGGCTGTGCTGGGCTCAGTATGAAG